TCCTGGGTTCAAGTGATTCTCCCACCTCAGCCTCCTGAGTAGCTAGGACTATAGGCACGTGCTGCCACACCCAGCTAATTTTGTATGTGTGTGTGACCTTGGAAAAGTAACACCTAGTTGCTTTGGGCATCTCTTTCATCATCTATAAAGGTAGGTAATACCACCTGTCTTAGTGGGTTGTTATGAATAAATGAATTAACTAAGTACCCTAGTAGAGCAAATGGCAGGTAACAGGTGTTTAATAAGCAATAGCTGCTGGGAGTCCTGCCTAATACTGTCTTTTGTACCTGTCAGCTCTAAGAGAGCGTAAGTACCTTGGAGGTAGGATCATTTCAAATACTTCTTTATATCTGCTCAGTACCCAGTGCTCTGCTTTGTGTGAAATATTTCCTACATTTATGTTGTGGTTTGAATGTTTTTGTCTCCTCCAAAATTCAAGTTGAAACTTAATCTCTAAAGCAACAGTATTAAGAGTTGTGGCCTTTAAGAGGTGATTGAGTCATGAATGGGATCAGGTGTCCTTACAAAGGGTTTAATGGAGGGAGTTCACCCCTCTTGCCCTTCTGTCCCATCCACCATGTGAGGACAAGGCCTTCCTCCCCTTTGGAGAATGCAGCAACCAGGCTCCATCTTGGAAGCAGAGATCAACCCTCACCAGATACCAATCCTGCTGGTGCCTTGATCTTGGAATTCCCAGCTTCAAGAACCATGAGAAATAAGTTTGTATTGTTTACAAATTACCAGGTCTGTGGTATTATGTTATAGCAGCACAAACAGACTAAGACATAATGTTAAATGGATTATTGTATATGCTAAAGTATTTTAACATGTTATTTTATCCAAGAATGCAGTATATGTTAATTCTTTTTATGCAAGATGCATGACAATCTTTTATTTATTTATTATGTGTGGAAAGTTGTATTCATTAAAAAGTGAAATCACAAATTAGTCTTCAGTTAGTCTTAGTGCATAAGAAAATTGCTGTTTTCAATGTTTTCCATTTCTCCCTCCTGTGACTTAAAAAATGTAGTTCTCCTTTCAGTCATGTTTTGCCTTCAAGATTTTAAAACTGGAGTCTGCATCCTGTAAAAGAGTGACAGAAACATGAATCAGTATCTCCTATTTACCCCAGTGTTTGACAATTAAGTCCTTTTGTTTTGAGGAGCTTTATCACTATGATTCACTGTTAAGAATCCCAACAAAACTTGGACAAATGCTTAAATTAGGATAAAAATCATAGGCAAAATTCTAGCTCTACTTGGAAGTATCTCTAATGAGCTTAGCATCATTCCTCTAGCTGGTATAAATAGCATTGGTTAGCATCCACTCGTACCATTTCTTAAATACTGAATTCTCTATTATTACTCTTCTGGATCAGTATATCATACTTACACTGATTTGCCTTAATAAATACAAAGGATAGGTCAGAGTATGTAGAATTGAAATATTTGGGAGATAACTCTAAAAGTATTTGTGAACTTTTAGTATATTGTTTAAAGAATAAAACAAGGCAGTTTATAATCCCTATTGGCATGTTTCATTTGGGAAGACATGCATTTACTACTTTTAAAAATCTGCACTAATAAAGACAATAATAACAATGATAACACAAAATTCAGTGTAGCCATTAATCCCTAAAAATGATAAAGATTCATAAAAACAAAGTTCCAGTGAAGTATCCCAAGAATGGAAAAACAAGCACCACATGTACTCACCATCAAATTGGTATTAACTGATCAACACACAAGTGTACATATAAGAATAACATCTATTGGATGTCGGGCAGGGGGAAGGGAGGAGGAGGGGACGGGTATTTGCATACACAAAGAGTGCAATGTGCACCATCCAAGGGATGGACACGCTTGAAACTCGGACTTGGGGGGGAGGGGGGAGGCAAGGGCAATATACGTAACCTAAACATCTGTACCCCCATAATATGCTGAAATAAAAAAACAAAGTTCCAGATATACTGTTCCTAGCCTGAAGGATAGAAGCAAATTCAAATATTATCAACAAGTACAACTAGCTTGGGATAAGCTATATTGTCTCTTAACTTAGATGCTTATAAGCATATGTCAATAAGGGAATGGATATATATAATAGAAAATAATGGGGGAGGGAGGAGTAAAGAGGCAGGAAGGAGAGAGTGGAGTAAAACCTAGAAGGAATAATTTTTTAACGTTTCTATGGTTTTATGTAAAGAATGAGGTATTATGTCCCAAAAATGGTATTGGGAAATGAGAAGATGTGCAGTTTATTATAAAAAAGAACACTAAAGCGGTAAGACCACATAATAAGCAATATTTTAAAGATGGTGATAGGAAGAAAAAAACCATGATTTTTTAGAAAAGGCTAGATATATTCAAATGCTAGATACTATATAAACAAAACAAAATAACCTACATATGGACGTTTCTGAAGAACAACTACTGCAACGGGACTGAAATTCTCTAGTCCCTGGTCTCTCTTTCCCCTCTGAAAAAATTATTTCTATAATGAATTTTTTCTCTACCCTATTATCTAAATCATTGAGAATGTGAATTGGTACAGACATTATGGAAAACTATGGAAGTTCTTCAAAAAATTAAAAATAGAATTACCATATGATCCAGCAATTCCACTTATAGGTATATATTCAAAGGAAATAAAATAAGTATCTTGTAGAGATATGTGCACTCTCATGTTCATTTCAGCATTATTCGCAATAGCCAAGATACAGAAACAACCCAAGTGTCCAGTGATGGATGACTGTATAATTACATACATATGTAACAGCTGTTTATATGAAATTATATATATAATATATATATACACACACATATAATGGAATATTATTCAGCCATAAAAAGGTGGACATCCTGCCATTTGTGACAACAGGGTGAACCTGGAAGACATCATGCTAAGTGAAATAAGCAAGATACAAAAAGACAAATACTTTTTGATTTCACTTATGTGTAATCTAAAAAAAGTCAAACTCACAGAAGCAGAGTAGAATGGTGTTTACCAGGGCTGGAAGATGAGAATGGGGAGATGTTGATCAATGGGTACAAACTTTCAGTTATAAGATGAATAACTTACATTATTATAACATAAATTCTAGGGATCTAGGGATCTAACATATAGCGTGGTGATTATAGTTAATAATATTGTATATTTGAAATTTGATAAGAGAGTAGATTTTAAGTGTTCTCACCACACAAAAAAAGGTAAATATGTAAGATATTTGGTTTGTTAGTGAACTTGATTGTAGTGATCATTTTTAATGTATATGTACATCAAATCATCACATTGTACACCTTAAATATATACAACTTTTATTTATAAATTATAAGAAAATCTTTGATCTTTATTACATGTACTCTGAGTATCTTGCTACTATCTAACTCATGATGAAAAAGGGGGAAAAAGCACAACAGCTAACACTTACGACATTCCAGGTTGTATTTTAAGTGTTTTCCGTATACTATACTCGTGTAATCCTCATAACAATCCTATGGCTAGGTACTATCCTCATCATTAATCTCCATTTTATAGACAAGAGGATTGAGTGGTTGAGAAGTAACTTGCTTAGGTCATGGGGCAAGTATGGGGTACAGCTGGGCTTTGAACCCAAGCAGCCTCGCACCAGGCTCCATGCTCTTCACCAGGATGCTGTGCTATGCTGGTAAGGTGGACTTTTCCTCCCAGCTCTTACCTATCACTGGGCACAAAGCCACTGTATCAGCAGCTGTCCACCACATTTAAAACTCAGCTGTAATCTTTAATGAAGCTCTGCCTTTAAAACCATCCCACACTACCAAGTCCCAACATTACCAAAACACTTATAAGTGATTTGGCCCAAAACAAACTGGTCCGCATTACAACTCGGTAGCAAATGAAAAGCCCCCTTCATGATTTTTCAAGCTGTGGATGTTGTAGTGTATCATGAAACTGTTTGATAACCATTTAAGTCTCTTTAAGCATTTTCTTGTGTTTTGTTTTTTCCTTTTTTCCCCTCTAATTCATTTTCACTGTCCTGCAAAAAATTGGAATAAAGTAAATGTCTAACAATTAGTGGATTACTTAAATATTGGCAAGTTATATAATGATACATATAGTATGATCCTGTTTTGTAATTATAATTCTTTTTTTATATATAAATCCCTAGTGACTGATTTCTAAAAAAAGGTAGTAACAACAAAGTATAGAAAGACTTTAACAATAAAAACCATCCATAGCAATAACCTTGGCATAATCATAATCTATAATTTTTGGTTTAACTCATTACATTTCCTGTACTGTTTATACATTAACCTCTTGATGGTTACAATTTTCTCAGAAATAGTTAACATTCCCTCTAATTGGTATAAGAATGAGCACTGAGAGAATAAGTAATCAACGTATTTCCTTAGACATGGGCACAAGCACATCTTAGATGTGCAAAGTACTTCAGGAACAAGGTAAAAGCAACCAGTACTACCCAGTGCATGCATGCATCTGTTTTAAGATCACAATAAGTGCTTCGACAGGAAAGCAGAGGGGCTGAGGTGCACCTACCCCTGGGGAAAAGTGTGAGGAAAGGCCAGGTACCACTCCAAGCCTCCTGAGCTGAGAATGGTAGCATGGGTAGGAGTTGGTGGGGAGAAACAGTGGGAAAATAGCATTTTAACATGTACACTGTTCAAACAGTAAGTGTAGAAGAAAAAATGGCAATCCTTGATTTGGTTTTCCTTCATAGAAAACTTCTTTCTCTAAGACTAGTAATAATTTATAATAAACCAACAGATGATGCATGGGGACAGAATACCTCTTATTTTTTTGTATTTATATCATGAGATTGGTGGAGAGCTAGTAAGAAAGTTTTTTAAGCACTGGAAAATTCTGTACTTTCCTGCAAGATTGATACATATTATTAAGAAATATATAAATTGGTCTTACCATACCACTCTTAAAGTTCTCAATCCTTTTCTTTCCTAACTTGCTGGTTATCCACCAGGCCCAGGTTGGCGTGTATTGCCACAAATATGCCATTAACAAAAAGGGCTGATCTGCTATCCAGACTTCTTTCAAATCATTGGCCATGGTGATTAACATCAGCCGCACACAACGACTGGTTGCCATCTTGTAGGACTGGTCTCCATAATTGCCTATAGACTAAGAATATTTAAAAATTAAGTCAATGCTGAATATTTATCCAAGTTATTTCATAAAACTTTTGAGCTGGTAAGGACCCAAAGGCCATCTAGTTGAGTGGCTCCTTTAGTGCAGCCTCATGCCCCACAGGAGTCCCCATAGGTACTAGTGGGGGTTAGTAAATTATTTGTAATATTAATATTTCAGAAAATGTTGCTCCATGAATTAATATAACTATATTGGAGACAGAAATGTCTCAGGAGTTTTGCAGAGCTTTGCCCTGAAGGAATATGTAAACGTGTTAGTTTGCATATCGAAAGCTGTTTCACCTCAGGAGAGCATCTCTGAAAGATTAGTAGCAGCTGTATCCCACAATGGCACCACCATTCTCAGACCTGAGGTTTGGACTTGCTTTGAAAAGCAAAACAGGTCTGCTAAGAACCACAGGATGAGAGTTGATCAAAGAGTGCCCACCCGACAGACAGCCACCTGTGGCTAAAAGCAATTAGCCCAAGGGACAGTTCTGGCTTAAACTCCTGACTACCTGTCTCAATACACAATAACTTGATAAAGAAAATATGGAGCCACTATATCTCCGTTTAACCCCTCTGTTAAGTGATAAATTTACCTTAGAACTTAGAAGTTAGTCTTTGAAAGATTTTGTAACCATTTATTCACGAAGATAGAATTAGTTAAGGGATCTGTAAAAGCCTTTTGAAAAACTTTTAACCTAAGAGGAACTACCTGTTGTTATGTAAATCTGTTACCCCTGGTAACTGATCACTGTACCTATAAATGCCCAGGTAAAACTTCACTCTTGGCCTCTGAGATTGACTAAGAAATCCAGGCCCCCTAAGTACCCACTTTGCCTATAATCTTTATAAATCTATAACACTATACCTTCATCTCTGTGTATTCCTTTATTTCCATTATTTTCCATTTTCTATTATTTTCTTATCCTTTGCAACGACCCTACCAAAGGGACCCGATTTTTTGCTGGGAGCTTAGCTACCTCTCCGCAAGAAAGCCTAACAGAAATCATACACTTACTAGATAAGATTGTGTAGACTAAAAGATGAAGGTTCTTTGCTTTTAATTAGAATTTCATCATCATAATGTGCTTAATTATAATTATATTATTACTTCAGTAATAAAAATCCAATTATTAGGAAATGCATTTAGCAAATGAAATTCCATAAAACGTGTAGCCCATGAGGATGAAATGGTGAAAGAAGATAAGGGGTTTCTTGGTAGTGAAAAAAATCTGTTACATAATAGTGGTCACATTATAGTGGACTACTTATAAGCGATATCATAGCAATTTTATTAGCCTTTATTAAAACTGGATGCAAAGCACTATCAGTGAACCTTAACAAGTTTCATAGTGCCACAAGTTAAGTTTTATGAATAATTCACACAAAAGCAATTCTAACACAAAAACCCTGATATATAGTGATACAACACCATTATATAACTAGTAAAGCATTCAAATTATTCCCAACTAGAAATTTTTACCTTTGTGACTTCTTCAGTTAGGGCATTCTTCACAATATCTGATTGCACAGGTCCCGGGCAAATGTTAGAGACTATTATACCTGGGCACGTGTTGTCAAGTTCAGTTCGGAGGCCATTAAAAAAACCCTAATGGGCCAAAATAAAGGGAAAAAAGCAAATAGAATTAAATATAGACATATATCTCATGATTTACCAAAATATATTCTAAAATGCCTGAATAAAGGACAAGTGTAATTGTGCAAGCCTATTAGGCATTTTTAACTGTATGGCTGGAGGTAGTCTAGAACAGACATTCTCAGCTCTTCCAGGTACAAATGGTTCACCCCCCTTGGTAGTGGTGGCTCTTCCCATCAATGATTTTAATGGTAGGCACACACTATATAAATGGAAAAACCATCCCCAAAGATTCTGATACACCCTCCCACCCTCCTCATACCAGTCTTCATCTTCCCTCTCCAAAAGGGGTACATGTTCTCCACTGAGAATCACTGAAGTTGGGTTTCTCTTTATTCCCCAAAGTGGTCAAAAGTGCCAATGTTAGGAGCAATGGGAAACAAGAGATTAGTACTTCATGGAAACTATAACAGAGAAAGAATTCAACTTTTTCCATTTATACTATTTTAACAGAATGAATTAGTTTCAGCAAACATCTTTTTTGGGTAACAAGAGAGTACATGGCTAATTAAAAATGTAATACAATTGTTTTTGTAAAACAAACTAGACCCTCTAGACTTAAAGATACTGGCCATTTATAAAGCAATGGGGAATAAACAGAAATCTACTTCCCCTAAATCTTCTTTTCCTAAATTAGGAAATGTTCTAAGACTACGTTGTTATGAGGCTGGGTTATCATAGAGCCTTAGCAGCTTACCCACAAGTACGTTTGTATATGATCTGACACTTTTTTTTTTTTTTTTTTTTTTTGAGACAGAGTCTCACTGTGTTGCCTGGGCTAGAGTGCCGTGGCGTCAGCCTAGCTCACAGCAACCTCAAACTCCTGGGCTCAAGCGATCCTCCTGCCTCAGCCTCCCGAGTAGCTGGGACTACAGGCATGCGCCACCATGCCCGGCTAATTTTTTCTATATATTTTTAGTTGTCCAATTAATTTCTTTCTAATTTTAGTAGAGACGAGGTCTCGCTCTTGCTCAGGCTGGTTTTGAACTCCTGAGCTGAAACAATCCACCCGCCTTGGCCTCCCAGAGAGCTAGGATTACAGGCGTGAGCCACCGCGCCCGGCCGATCTGACAATCTTAAACTATTACCAGCCCTTAAATGCTGACCAAACAAACACAGGGCCTATGAGGGTTCATGCTCAGAGACTGACACAGTGCAGAAATGGACTGAATAAAATGCTTGCTTGATAAATGAATGGAAAACTCCCATACCTTTAACCTTCTGCCCCTCTATAGCAAAAGAGGAGAGAGGACACCAAGCAAGCCAATACATCAGACACTAAAACCTCTCCTTGTTTGAAATCACATCTAACTTTTCAATGATAAACAAGTTTGCTTTGTAGCTTGCTGGGAATCTAAGAAGGAAATGTGCTGTTCAAAAAGAGCTTCCTGGTCTCCAGTTTAACTACTGGTATAACTAAGTAGAGTCTCAACCTGCCACGTTCTATCAGAGGATCCAATACAGTAATAAAACAGTGATTCTTGGAGAGCAGGCCAGACAGCTCATCTGTGTTTTATTGAAAGCATCCTGCAGGCCTTATGAGATTCTTGGCATCAAACAGATGGGGTGGCCGCCCTCCCTCACCTGCCTGCCTGAGGCTTGCCCAACTGCTCCACGGGAGGTGACTGATACCCCACTTCTAAATACAAGGAAAAATCATCAGTGTAACAGTCCACTTTATCACTCTCTGCAGCTGTGTGCTCTTCACAGCAGCAAGAGGATGTCCTAAAGAACCAAAGCTTCAAATTTTCATGAAACTATCATGACCATGCAGCTATTGCATCTCATCATTTCAACAGTGAAACATTCTACTTTAACTTTTGACAGCATGAAATATAAATTCTGTACCTCCTTTAATCATTCTCCTCCTATTGGCTTTATGATTTCTTTGTATCCATGCTTAAGCCAACATTAAAAATTCATTCATTTCTAATATTTATAGCTCATAAGACATGCAGCCCAAATCAACCTTTTCTCCTAGCCTCTGCCTTGACTAGACTTTCTTCTTCCGATGAAACCAGAGTGAATAGTCAAGGCTATTCTCAGTAGGAATATGAGAAAACCAATCACCCAGTGGGTAGTACCTATTTCTGACGTGCATATATAATTAGACCAAGTTAAATAAACACCAAGACAAGAGGGAAGGAAAAAAAGTCACAGAAATAGGGAAAAAAATACATCCTTAAGTGCACATATAAGGAAGGAGGAACAGACCCCCAATTTGCCATGAAGATGTGGTGGGAATAAGGATAAGCTAAAGGGTGACATGTTGACTAGACCATACACTCCTTGAGAGCAGAGAACATATCTTACCATCTTTATATTCCCAAAATCTGTTGTAGTGCATGTGCTCAGTACACATTTGTTGAATAAGTTAGAAGCATGCGTGGCCCAAGTCTTTTTTAGCATCTACTGGGGACGTCCTCTACCAGAGGTCTCCCTGAGTCTCTCTTTCTGTCTCCCCACATCACTGCCCAGTTCCAGTGACCTCGCACAGTGATGGCCATATCCCCCATACACACACTTAGGTCAGTACTTTCAGAGTTGAGTTCAAGCAACCTTACCCGAAGAGCATGCTTGCTGGCAGAATATCCAGTGGAAAGGGGTGCAGATAAGATACCCATGAAGCTATTCACAGTAACAATCTTTCCTTGCTTCCTCTTCATCATGTGAGGCAGAACACACTTAGTCAGGGATACCGTCCCTAAGTAGTTAAGCTCTATTAGTTCCGTGTAGACATCCATGCTGGTATCCACACACAAAGAACGCTGGCTTCTTCCACCATTGTTGACCAGAATGTCGATCTAGTTAAATGAAATCAGAAAAGGGGCACTTTGGGGATGTCCTGGATTGACAGATTGATAGAATTCCTAAGCATAGTTGGTTATACTGTTAACTAGACGAATCAACAGACGATGGTAGATTTCCAGAAGTCAGAAATTAAAAAGATATAATAAAATAAAAACCAGAATTCATGCATGGAATTAAATTCCCATTTTAGGTGACTTTTTATGGAAGATAATAATTGTCATAAAAATAAAAGCAACCATGAATTTTTAGCTTCTGTTGTTCCACACAGAGGAATCAGTACTTGTTAAGGTATGAAAAGTAACAATTACATAAATCCAAAGACTCAGCTATTAGAGGCCCAATTCATGGTACCGATCTCACTGCCTGGGCCCCATCTGCCTAAAACCCTTTCAATGATAGCACCACAGAGGGGAATCTCTTTTGCAGTTACTTCAAACCAAGACCGTATCAATACAAAATGCTACTTACTCTCCCAAACTCCTGGAGAACAGTTTTGGTAGCCGCTTCATGGGAACTTCTGTCAGTCAGGTCAAGGGGCAAAACAAGTATATCTTTTCCTTTTAAATTGCCATTCTCTAAATAAAGACAAAAATTAGCATGGAAGTCATGCCATAGGTCAATCAAGCGCTTAGATACTCCCCTTGAAACCCACCCTACCTCAGGAGTTGGTAATGAACTCATTTCTAGGTGGCCCTGTGCAAGTTCCCACCAGTGATCAGAAAGGCTAGGGGGAATATGGCAACGTCTTATGAGACAGAAAGCTGGCTGGCTTCACAGGAAGGGGAACGGCACACTTCAACTTGAATATATACAGTCTAACTGTAGAACAGACTCTGGCAGAAATCAAGATTATACTATAAGCTAAAAAATAAAAAGCAAAAATTGCTTTAGAAGTATAGAGGTATATATGTTTTGTGTTAGGCTTACAAAGTATTGTTGCTCTTCTACACACATTTAAAAAATAACAATTTGTGCTTAAAATCAGTAAGAAGCTCAGAGTACTACAGTCAAATGTCATATAGAAACTTCTCTCCAGAGTCTAAGGATTCCAGGAGGTAAACAAGAAAAAGGACACACTCCTGAAACTCCCACCCAAGAAACATGTTGAGCTGTAATGGGGACTCTGTGTTCAGCAAAGAACTAAAACTAATTTTCCTGGACTCTAACCTTGAAATTCAAGTAATACCAGTAATAAAAACAAGCACGTATAGAAAATATTAGAGATATAAAGGCTTCATGGGCAAAAGAGTTGATTGTGAAACATCAACCATATTAGAGTGAAGGTCAAAGTTTGCACCAATGATCTGAAAGGTAAAAGGAAAGCAATCAGCCTCACGCCAGGTAACAAATGCTGACATGGTTCATCTACTCTGCCAGTGCAGGACTTGCAAGTCACAGCAGTACGGGAACAGCTACCATAAGAAGTGGCCCAGTACAAAAACACAGGAGGTCTTTGAAAGCAATATCCTGGAAGAGGCCGTGTGGCCCGGCTGAGTGCTGCTGTAGCAACTCTCATTTCTGGGTGGTTAGCTCAATCACTTAAAGAAAGATTTTTAAAAATGACACGTAGAAACAAGATTCCCCAAAAATGGTCTTTTGGGAAACTCAAAATTATCTCAGTTTAAGTACTAAATGTCCCATGAGAAATAACAACTTTATTACTGGAGGCTGCTTTCAGTGTGAACATTACACAAAAACTCAAAAATATGAACACTGTTGCCCATTATATGAATATGAAAGATATTACCTCAAGTTGCATTTTTTAAACCTAATTCCATTCCTGTTCTTTTATCCTATGTAACAAAAATCTTATTCCATCCCATCTGACTTTAATATCTGACATTTTAGCAAAATGAATAAGGATCTTTCCTCATTAAAATTCTATGGTTAGACACAAAATGTTCTTTCTCTAAGACAAAAATAAGTCAGCTGGTCACTGGAATATGACAGAATTGGTGTTTACTCCCTGATGCCAAGAGCCAGTGCAAGAAATGAATGTAAAGGTGGCAGAAAAGGAGAAGAAAAAGGCAAGGGCAGCTAATTAAGAGAAGACAGGAAGAGGAGGGCCTTGGGCAAAGCACTTGGAACGTCTGGAACAAGGGTGCACTCCCCAGGAAAACTGCACTCTTCTCTCCAAAACTTCCAAAATTGCATTTGAATTTGGAATCTGATTCATTCCTAGGAAGCACCACTGCTGTTTTAGATTTGCTTACCTAGGCATCTTCTTTTCACCCTTTCCAGCTCAGACACTCTTCGGGCAGACAGCACAAGAGAAACTCCTAGTTGAGACAACTGGTAAGCCAGCTCCTCTCCAATTCCACTGGAGGCTCCAGTCACCCACACCACCATATCCGTCAGCTCCCATTCTGTTGAGGAAGGAGTAGGGATAGACGGGAAAAAATAGGCTGTGGATTACACTAAATCAAAGATTAGCTAAATTAGGCTAAATCAAAAGATTAGCAAAAAATAAAAAGCTTTAAACAACACCACTAAATATGAAGACATAATATGAGGAGCTAAAATTTTAAATATCCTAAGGAAACATCTCCTTCTTAATTTTTTTTAAAAAAAGTATGAATACAAACCATATTAATAACAATTATTAACACCATATTTTTGTATTCTAGAACCTTGGTGTTCTAGAATGTTGGTATTCTAGAACCTTTTCTAGAGTTTATTTTAAAGGTTAACCTTATAACACCGTGACACCAAGGCTCTATTTATCTACGTATTTGATAAAGAAAAGTAAGGCTAACTGAATTGAAAGTCATCATCCAGACTCCCTTTCCTTTTCCATAAAATGAAGGATTCAGATTAGATGACCACTAAAGGTCCTATCCAGTTTTCAATTTTTTTTTTTAGACAGGGTCTCATTCTATTGCTGGGCTGGAGTGCAGTAGCATCATCATAGCTCACTGCAGCCTCAAACTCCTGGGCTCAAGTGATCCTCCTGCCTCAGCCTCCCAAGTAGCTGGGACTACAGGCGTGTGCCACCACACTGGGCTAATTTTTCTATTTTTTGTAAAGCCGGGGTCTTGCTCTTGCTCAGGCTGGTCTCCAACTCCTTGCCTCAAGCAATCCTCCTGCCTTGCGCAGCATGAGCCACTGTGCCCAGCCAGGACTTTTAAAGTGATATTTGCCCGATTAGCCAATCATATCTACTACCTATCAGCTAAAGGTCATTTTGTAAAAGTGCTCCCCATATGCCTGAGCTTTCATCATCTTAGGAGAATCTAGTAATTTACACAACAGGAAATTGCTGTGCTCTGCTTGTCCAATTATGTTCCTGTTAAAGACTATAAAAATGTAATGGTACTAAAGCAATGACAAGTGGCTCGTTCTACTTTTGTCCAATGAAAAACTATTTGCACTCCAAGAGATGATATTCAGTCTATCCAAACCCATAAAGTCACTGTTGTGCAAAGTTCCTATGTGCCTTATTTATAAAAATACATGCTATTTATCAAAAATAACAAACTATCACTTTATATCACATTTCTGATTTTAGATCAGGAAAGTTACAATCAGGAAATGATTATACTGTTTTAGTCAAACAGTTCTAAATCCTAACTGTGGTATTAACATTACCAGCTCTGGAGACTGCCAGGGTTCAGATTCCGACTTCATCACACACAGCACTGAATGCTCCCTCAGTGCCTTAATTTTCCAGAACTGGAAATGCGATAATAAAATATCCCTCACAGGATTGTTGAGAGAAATGAGTTAATAACATGGAAAGCACTCAGAGCAGTATCTGGTATATACTCAGCGCTTAATAAACCTCAACTATAATTATTGCTAAAATTGTTTAACAGATGGACTTTATAGCAGCAAAACATAGAATATTCACTTAATGATATGTCTGTTCTAATTTCTCCAGCCAGGGCAATGGGGTTACTAATTCTAATGGCTTAACGTTTTTTTCATTACTTCTTACGTGCTTAACACATTACCTATTAAATTCCTCACAAAAAACTTATGAAATAGGTATTATTATCTGTTTTACAGAAAAGGAAACAGGTTTACAGAGATTAGTTTACCCCCAGCACTTGTAATTCTAGCTACTCAGGAGGCTGAAGCAGGAGGATAGCTTAAGCCCAGGAGTTCAAGGCCAGCCTGGGCAGGATAGCAAGACCCCTGTCCCTAAAAAAAAAAAAAACCACAATCACCCTCACTAGACTGTAAATTACATTAAGGCTGTGACCCTGTCTACCTTGTTCCTTGTTGTGGCCTCAGTGTCTAGCACAGAGACTGGAATACAGAAAGAACTCTATAAATAACTATTGAATAAACACCTAAGAACCCTGGCAGAGCTGGGATACAAACCCAGGTTATATCTAGCTCCAAAGCCCACATTGTCCACTATCCTATGGCACATATTTAAATATGATCAATATTTTAAAACCCAACTGTTTCTTAGACTTTCAAAAAAAATACAACTTGTCTTCAGGGAAAATGCTCCTTGTAAATATCTCAACTAAGGATAAAAACATCCCCAATACTATGTCTGGGCTATAATGCTTTCCTGTCATATAATGTAATTTTATGGAATGGTACAATTAAGCAAACTTCCTATGGACTTTATCAGGAACAACAGAAGATATATTCAGATATCTTCAGATATATTTATTCCTTCATTGACTACTCATTATCCCAAAGTTCTGCAATATTCTGACTCTAGGGTGAATATTGTTTGCTTTGGAACCACAGCCTAGAGCTAACAAAGATTTCTCTATTTTTACACCAATAAGCAAATGTTATTTAAAACCAACATGAAAACTTTAGTACAACTACAGTTCTGGCACCCTTCTTCTCACCCTGGAGAAGAAAACTTTTTCATTTAGCACCAATTTTTGTTTCCCAGTTCCACAGAATCTGGCATATATAATGTCTTCCTTTAAAGAGCCTCTGAAAGCAGAGTCTTGGAGTTACAAAGAAACTGACAGTTCAACCCACACTCCAGTTTGAGAATTCTCCCCTCAAGCCCTTGACTAGTCTCTACTTAATTCTCTCACAGAAAGAGGAAGCGAGTTATCTGGAAACTCCTGCTCCTTTTTTGAACAAGTCTAATCATTTCAGGGTTCTTGCTTATACTGATGTGATATGCCTTTAAATGCTACCAACAGGCAGCAGTGGGCAGCAGTTCTGCCTTCTGGTAACAGAAATCAAACCTTTCACATGACAATCCCTCACAGCTGTTAGGGAAGACAGCCATTATGTCCTAAGTCCTCTCCTCTCTTGCTTCTCTAAAGCTAAATAAACCTGTCCAATTTCTGCTACCTTCCCTCAAATGACATGGCATCAGGTTTCCTCGCTCTTCTGTTCACACCCCTCTGCACCAGCTCTAACTGGCCAATGTTCCCATTGAAAGGAGCTGGCCAGGGAAGGACACAGGATTCAGTAGAGTCTGGACAGTGCAGAGCAGGGTGAGATGATGTCATCACTTCCCTTGTCGCCTGCAAGGTAGGCGTGTGAGGGCCAGGACTGTGGTGGCTCAGTCACTGCTGGGTCCCCAGAGGCCAGCACATAAAGCAAGTATTCAGGAGACAACTGTTGCTTGCAGCTGTTGCTTCAGACACTAAACATCGACAGATGCAGCCCGGGTTTGCCTAATCTTTTCTGGCAGCCACTTCACAGCTGACTCATCCGGAGGTTACTGTCAACTATAACCTGAGTTTTCTTCACATGTGCTGCTGTTGAAATTTTTACTACTCTAGACTTATGCCATGGATTTTTCTGCACCATTTTCATATCTAAAATTAGCTCCCTTAAATTTCACTATGTAAGATCTATGCTTGGAAATGCAGAGAATTTCCCCAGAGGATACCGAAGAGGCAGGAAGTGGTAGTTGCCTCCAGAGAGTCATACTAGGTGCCTGGGGGACAAGGGTAGGAGACAGCCCTACTTTTTACTGTGTATCGTTCAGTATTTTTAAATTTTGTATTACACAAGGATGTTGTCTACATTTTAAAATGACAAGAAATAATAAACCTACAGAGATGCCAAGGAGGATACCTTTTTTTTTCTTCTTTCATCTTGACAGAATATGCCTATCTTTCCAGCCTGAACTGTTTTGGGAATCTGAGGCTGTTTCCAAGTTCCTTTCATCTTTCTTTCTTTATCATTCCCCACCCCAGCTAGAAGTCTTTTTAAACATGTTTTTTTCCTAAAATTCCCCCATGAAATTTTAATTCCACAGATATACTGTATATCCATTTATGTACTGTACATATATCTGGGCTAATTTATAGAATAAAAAGAGTTCTATAAAGCTTACTCCTTAGTTAATGCAAGTATAAGAATGACTAAATTTAAAATTAAGTTAAAAGTTAAATTAAAATTTAAAAGCTAACTAACTTTATAACTATTTGCTGAATAACTTAATGTAACTTAAACAGCAATGCATCAAATTATATATGCAAATTTGCAATTAATAACTACATAATAATAGCGATGTAATTAAATTTAAAATCCTTCAAAGTGATTTTTCCAACAAAAGTAAAACAATCAAAAAAATTAAATGAATTTCTTAAAATTATTTTTTAGTGATCTTAATTTTTAACTTTTGCTTGATATGAGAAAATAACTTATAACTTACTAATTTAGAGATATTCATTTAGATATTGTCAACATTTTTCCTCTTTAGCACTTGACATAATTTGATGGGTTGAATAACTTGTAGAATTAAATAATAATTTATAAACTATTTTTATTTAATTCTCCAAGTCCAAGTTAACACAAAAAGCACTGAGGATCAAACACAAACAACATCTACAAGGCAAGCAATGGCAACCAATAGGCATGGGCACTCCACCTGCTGAGATGGAGAAATCCATCAAGAGAAAGTCCTATGGTTAATAAAGTTGCATGGTATTTGGGATTCCTACTTAAAAAAAGAGAGATAGAGAAAGTCCACCCATCACAGTCTTCTATTTGCCAGTTTTGTAGCGCTAATGTTGCATATATGTTCATGTATTTTCCATGAACTCAGTGTCACTGCTGCACATGTTATACCCAAGAACAAACAGAAATGAAAAACTAGAGTATAATAGAGATAGAAATAGAAATAATAGAGTAAGATTTTGTCTGGTAGGGTTGAGCTTTGGAAGGGGCACAAACCACTGCACTATTGGATATATATATATTTTTTTGCAGTCCTGCAGTACCAATTTTCACCTCTTTGAGATGGATATCACCACCAGGAGCCCTCACCTTCCCACCCTCACATCCCCTCACCCCGCCCACTTAGGAAACATGGTCTATCTTCTGAGCTACTAGCTATGACTTCCAAGCAAACCTCACCAGATGCTTTGAGTATTTTCATACCGGAAACTTGGCCCAGGGAAACCCCACTTACCCCAGTTCTTAAGGATCCAGGGTATAAATTTGGGCAGGTCATTTAGTTTCTCTGAGCATCAGTTTCCCTATCCGGAAAATAAGACTAATAATACCTACTTTGTAAGAGTTGTTATAAAGGTTAGAGATTATGTGTATAGAGTACGAAGCACACAGCCTACCTAGAACATAGAATATGTTTAGGAAACAAACATATATTATATTATCATCAAATTTGAAGCAAGGCACAGATAAAAGTGGGATAGGGAGAATGACCTTTAGTATACCAATAATAATCTTGCTCCAGGCAAAATGCCAATTCAGTTCTTTCTAGTGTTAGACTTGCATACCAATGAGTAGGTAGGCGGGTGACTCCATATAGCTCGGATTTTATTTCAGAACTTCAGGGAGTGAGAAGTGGACGATAAACAAATTTCAGGAAGTAGAAAGACCGAGCCTGCAGTCCTCACAAAAGAAGGCTCCCTTACAAACGCAGGGGGACGCTATTTTCTCACAGTACCGTCCTCCGACACTACACCAGAATCCGAGTTAAGAAGTCAGAGTCCAGGCCAGGCGCGGTGGCTCACGCTTGTAATCATAGCACTCTGCGAGGCCGAGGCGGGAGGATTGCTCGAGGTCAGGAGTTCGAGACCAGCTCTGAGCAAGAGCGAGACCCCGTCTCTACTAAAAATAGACAGAAATTAGCCGGGCAGCTAAAAATATATAGAAAAAATTAGCCGGGCATGGTGGCGCGTGCCTGTAGTCCCAGCTACTCAGGAGGCTGAGGCAGGAGGATCGCTTGAGCCCAAGAGTTGGAGGTTGCTGTGAGCTAGGCTAACGCCACAGCACTCTAGCCCGGGCAACAGAGCGAGACTCTGTCTCAAAAAAAAAAAAGAAGAAGAAGAAGTCTGAGTCCTGAGGGCGTCCTGCCCATTCCAGCGCTCTCTTATAGTATGGTAACCCCTGGAGAGGCACACCCGTGCCATCGTCGACCAGGACAGAAGACAAAAGGGAGAGAATAGCTTCCTTAGCCCCGGTCTCTTCCTCCCCGACCCACAGCCCCTGGAACGGCACAGCCTCGCCGCCGGGAGGCTCCATCAGAGCAGGAGGGACCCGGCACGACCGCAGAGCCAGGGGAGATTAGGACGCGCCTCGGCCGCTCCGAGCCCGACCTCCAACTCGGGAGGGGCCGCGGCGGGTCCTCACCTGGGCGTCGCCCCTGCCACTCGGCCCACAGCAGCGTCAGGTCGCCGTCAGCCCGCAGGAAGCGCAGCAGCTGCACCACCAGCAGGACCGGCGCGCACAGCGCCAGCAGCCAGAGCACCAGCTCCCAGCTCATCGCGGCCACGCACGCCCCGCTCCTCGAGAGCAAGCCTGCCAGCGCCCGAGCCGCGCCCCAGCCGCGCCGCAGCCGTGAAGGGCCCCAGCGCCACCGCCTCCCGGGCCCGCCCCGAGCAGCACCTCCCCGTCTCCGCCCAGAGAGCGGGCGGGAAGGAGGAGCCGCCCGGGCACGCCCAGCTCCGCGCCAGCGCCGGGGCGACCGCCCAGGGCCGGCTGGCGAAGGGAGTCCCGGGCGCCTACGCCCTGGGGCGCCAAACCAGGCTTGGATTTGGGCAGCACAAGCTGCACGTGTTTCGCTTGCTTGTGCGCCTAAAGCAGGGTCGCAGTAGGAACAAAAGGCATGAATGACTTAATTCCTTGGAGATACTACTGTTGATACAGGAATCTCAGGACTTGTAATGACCAGAACGATTCTGTAACAGTTGTCTTGAGAGCAAATAGTTTTTCAGGGCCCTGGTTACGTGGAGAACACTACCATTTGAACTTTGAACTTGGCTTCTTCCTCCGCCTCATCCTTCCCCTCTTTCTCATCTTTTTTTTCTTTCAAAACTAGGTGAACAAACCATTAGATTGAATTTTTTTCCCCACCGAATTAACCAAGTCGCATCAATTAAACTTTGGAAAGTATGTTGCAAATGACTCTTGACCTTTGTTGGTCCAGAAAATGCTGACTCAGACTCGATTGTCAGTTCTATCTAAGATTAGGAGCTCAATGCTGTGCCCTCTGCTACCCTGTATAAGTTATTTCCTTACGTGTACCCACAAAGAATATCTAGGAAGGTTTAAGTGAGAAAAATACCTGTGAAGGGCACAGTGCCGCGTCCACAACAGCAATTGTATTCTCTCTTTTGTAATTATTAGTATTAATTATATTGATGAATTCTTGGGCCTCAACCTGAAAGGCAGAGACTCTGTTTATTAACTTCTATATTCTGCCCCGATTGAGTTCCCCTTGCACGTGAAAGCAGTAAAAATGTTTAGACTGTGATGAATCAGAAATTGTTGGGATGTGGTTCTGGCTTCCCCCAGGAAGATGTGAGCTAGCTAAACTTTGACCTCTCCCGGTTGCTTACCCCAGTTACAACTTGGAATAATACTGCTCAAGAGTTGCTCTCATTGGCTTGTCACCTTTACAATGTGGGTTTTATTTTCCTATGATAAATGATTTTTATAAGCCGGTGCTTAGAAAAATACCACACTGAGTCTCACAGAGAACAAACACTAATCAAAAGTTTCCTCTGAGCCTGTTTCCCCTTCTGTAAAATGAAAGGGTTAAGTTAGATTTATTTAGTGTCCCAAGCCAGACCATTCTCCAGCACAGACTCCAGCTGTGGAAAGAGTGGGAGGGGAACAAAGTTGCAAATGGCAATTATGGGAGTGGGGGATGGGACAATGGGCCCAGGGCTGGGAAAAACTGACCAGTAAAGAATATGAGCTCCCCTCTGTTCAGCCCTAGAGACTGAGGTCTCTGTGAGTTCTGAGTATTGAAGTCTCAAAAATGTGTATTTTAATCTGATGATGTGGGCCAGTATGAATGTCTTATTCATTCCAGTGTATAAACTTATGTACAAAATTAAATATCCTATTTATTAATTTACTAAACTGTAAATGATTAATTTTATACATCAGCTTGACTAGACCATGGTACCCAGTTTTTAGTCAAACATCAATCTAGATATTGTTGTGAAGTATTTTTTAGATGTGATTAACATTTAAATCAGTAGAGTTTCAGTAAAGCAGATTCCCTATCCTCCATAATGTGGGTGAGCCTCATCCAATCAGTTGCAGGCTTTAAGAAAGAAAAGACTAAGGCCCTGGAAGAAGAGGAAATTCTGCCTCCAGACTGCCTTTGTACTGCAGAGGCAGCATCAGCTCTTCCCTGGGTCTCCAGCCTGTCAGCCTAGCCTGCAGATTTTAGACATGCTGAACCTCACAATCACATGACCCGATTTCTTAAAATAAATCTCTTTCTCTTTCTTTCTCACTCTGTCCCTTATACACACACACACACACACACACACACACACACACACACACGCACGCACACACACACATTCTGTTCTCTGGAAGACCCTGACTAATAAACAAACTATAATAAAATTATACGGTCTTTTTACCTCACCAGCAGTTTTTGCATTGGAAAAAGAAAACAAATTCATGTACAAATTTCAGTGTCAGAAATTTCTTTTTACTTGAATAGAGACATAATTCATTTTAGCATTCAGTTGTATGTTCAAAGAATCAGCTACTATCATCAGAAAGACAACTATTATAACTAATATTTTTATAATGCAAATTTGTCTTTGTTGGTTCTATTTCCCATTGAGAAAAATCCTGCCTCCGAATCTGATACCTCTGGTGCACACATCAGCAAGTTCTTTTCACAAGTAGCATCCATCAGAATTGCCTCTTCCCATTTTGCACAGAATTTACCTCAGAACTTAGAGGCAAAGTGTTTAAAGCAATTGAAGCAGAGATGAACACAGACACATCCTGAGGCCAAGGTGCATGAATGAACAGACAGAGCAGGAAATGCTGACCTCTCCTGGAGGAGGCCATTCATCAGCTCCCGGAATTTTTTTTTTTTTTTTTTTTTAGACATAGTCTCACTATGTTGCCCGGGCTAGAGTGCTGTGGCATCAGCCTAGCTCACAGCAACCTCAAACTCCTGGGCTCAAGCAATCCTTCTGCCTCAGCCTCCCGAGTAGCTGGGACTACAGGCATGTACCACAATGCCCGGCTAATTTTTTTTTACATATTTTTAGTTGTCCAGCTAATTCCTATTTTTTTTTTTTCAGTAGAGATGGGGTCTCGCTCTTGCTCAGGCTGGTCTCAAACTCCTGAGCTCAAATGATCCACCGGCCTCAGCCTGCCGGAGTGCTAGGATTACAGGCATGAGCCACCACGCCCAGCCTAGCTTCCAGAATTTTAACCATTTCAATATAAAATACCACTAATTAAAAAAAAAACTGATTCAAATATAAGCTACATTATTATGCTACATTATTTTCTCTCTGACCAGAGAAACTATCGACGGCCAAGAGACAAGGAGAAAAGAATCTCCCTCACTGAGCCCCTCTTCCACACTCCCATTTGGAAAGAGCATCAGCTCTCCCTCTCCTCAAGTCTCAGAATCTTTTCATGAGGTCGGGACAGTGCTAAAGAGTGTAGCTATCACTCAAGACTCTGAAAGCCAAGGCAATGGTCCCTCCATTGAGACAGGGTCCTTTCACAATTATAGAAGAAAAATTGAAACCGTACGTTATATCAGAACCTTACAATATGATTCTGACAACACACAAACTTACTCCCAGCTAGAGTGTTTTTTTAGCAACCAAAGCCTGGACTGGTACTAAATCCTCCCTTTACCCAAGGTATGATTCACATCCTAATGTAAACAGCACAATAAGAACAGAGAATCTAATTAAAACACCACGGGCTTGCCTACTCTAATACACAAACCAGTAACATACGATTCCTGACTAATTCCCCTTAGAAATGAGCTTCAAAACATTTTATTGCTTCCTACTCAATATCTACATGAGTTAGAGAGGCGTCAACAGTAGCAACTTTCTTGTTTTCAGGCATTTAAAAACAAAAGAGTTTTCAATTCATAAGCCTGAGAGGGACCCAGTTATAGCACATAAAAAATGGGCCGTGGATGAGAACAAGCAATAGTCAAATGGGGAAAGTTCTAGGTGTTGGTGCAGTAGAACTTCCATCCTCTCTGTTTCCTAGGATATCTTATATGGTCTGGTATCAAAAGTTGTTCCTTGGCAGAAGCTAAACATGACTTTAAAACAGTAATGGAAGCGAAAGAGACAGTGGTTTCCCTCCCCAATGTTGTTTTATTTTTCCAGTCTTGCCTACCAAACTTTCCTTTTCTTTTTCTTAAAATATTTTGAAGAATGTTACTTGCAGTAGTTAAATTTCCCTAAACAGCTCTTCCTTCTCTCTTTCTAATCCCATTGCAAACCCCACCACCGGCCTCCCCACTTGCATCCTCTAGAAAGCTTTTCTAGAACCCATGACCATCTCCTCCCTAGTCTCACCTCTTTTCACAATTACTTTAGATGGGAACTATGCCCAATATTGATATTGTTCCCTAATTATTTAGGGGGTAAATATCTTATTGCACCAATGGAACTTTAAGTTCCTTGAGATAAAGTAGCTAAAGCTGATGCTTCTTTTAAAGAGTCTCTAGTACTCACTATACAATATATACATGTAATGGAATTCAACTGGTACCCCCAAGATCTATTAAAATTAAAAAATTAAAAAAAAAAGAAAACAGATTAAAAAATGAACAAAACACTGTTAACAGGCACCTCACAAAATAAGATATACATATGGCAAGTAAGCATATGAAAAGATAGTCAACATCATATGTCATTAGGAAATTGCAAATTAAAACAATAATGAGAGGCCACTACATAAAATAGCCAAAATCCAAAACACTGGCACCAGATGCTGGCAAGGATATGGAGCAATGGGAACTCTCTCATTCATTGCTAGTGGGAATGCAAAATGATACAGCCCCTTTGGAAGACAGTTTGGCAGTTTCTTACAAAAATAAACATATCCTTAACGCACAATCCAGCTTTTGCACTCCTTGATATTTACGCAAATGAAGTTAAACTTATGTCCACACAGAAACCTGCACAAGGATGTTTATAGCAGCCTTAGTCATAATTGCCAAAACTTAGAAGCAATCAAAATGTCTTTCATTAGGTGAGTGAAGAAATAAACACATCTAGGCAATGGAATACTGTTCAATACTAAAAAGAAATGAGCTATCAAGCCATGAAAAATGACATGAAGGAAACTTAAATGCATATTGCTACGTGAAAGAAGCCAATATGAAATGGCTACATTCTGTGTGATTCCAACTATGTGGCACTCTAGACAGGGCACAACTACAGCAGTAAAAAGATCAGTCGTTTTCAGAAGTTGGCAGGAGAGAGGGAATGAATAGACAGAGCATGGAAGATTTTTAGGGAGGTGAAATTGTTCTGTGTGATACTATAATGGTAGGTACATGTCATTATATATTTGTTAAAACCCATAGAACATACAAAACCTAAAGTGAACCCTAGGGTAAACCATGGACTTTGGATGATTATGATGTGCTGATATAGGTTTATCAGTTGTAACAAATGTACCACTCTGGTGTGGGATGTAGGT